TTGTATTTGATTATAGACATTGTCTCGTCCGAGTATGTCCGGTGTATTTGTACATGGTACCTTTTTATCTATATATTTACATTTATCGATCAAAAAAAAATAATGGTTAACATAATTGCACGTGACAATAAATGATTGAAGGAAAAAATAAACTGAATTTTAAACTGTTTAGTGATAAAATGCAACTCGCCATTACTTTATTAAAGATGCTCATGTAGCATGATTCGGTCCAAAAATCCCTTATAAATAACTGGCCGCTCTTTTTTGTGTGCTCCGTGATTACTGAAATCCTGGGGCATCTGCAATATTATACGATCCTCTTTTCTCCTCATATTAACCAATCTTCAAGGGAAAAAATGGCACAAAAAGGTTGAAGCCCGTCAGTCTAAATGTCGATATGTGTGTGTGCATATTCATTCACAAATGAGTGCTTATATACCTGTATCTATTTATGTACATGTACATGTTTCTTGATTGGATTTGTGAAATTTCAGATTCACTGGAGGAGTTATTAGTCCAGGCAGTGGATGCTGCTAAAAGTGCTGGAGAGGTGACATCCAGTTCGCAAATCCAAATTCTCGTTTGCTAGTATTAAATTCGTGTTTCTTTGGGCATTGATTGATCAGTTTTTGGCCGCATTCTTTATGCTTCGAATTTTTACAATTAATCTTTTTTACTTCTTATGTCTGGTTCACAGATCATTCGTTCTGCGTTCTATCAGACAAAGCTTGTAGAGCACAAAGGCGAGGTAAAATCTTGACTGTTTATGACGGAATATACTGTTGGGGGGGTGGTCTGCGGGTCTTCTAAAACTTTTCAAATTTTCATTTAGAAAGGGAAAATCGAAGAAGCAATGTTAGGTAATCTGCTATTTTAACTATGAATTATGCATAAACGGTTATTGCTTTTGAAAATTTGATTTACCTCACGTGCACGAAGGGTCGGTAATCTTGGTTACTAAAATTTTCAATTTCTGTGTTTGGGACTCTATACTTGGATTGGTCTATGAGGATCCCCAATACTTAAGTGGAGTATAAGTGAATAAATGTACATGAATAAATTCCATATATGAGCCATGATGTGAGGTGGCCAGTGATAATGCACTGACAAGATGCTTGATTAACAGTGTTTCTATACCCAATCTTCCCCTCCCTAGACCAAATTGGACGGTAGTGATGCATCACGAGAAGGTTCTACCCTAAGTTCAGGAGACAGCTTTTAGTCTTTCCCCTGGGTTTTTATGTGGCATACGGAGTATGTGAATTGGTAAATCTTTCTTATGAGCAAAATTCTGATTTCAGGACACCACTTTGAAAATTTTTTAATTTCTTTTGTTTGTAGGATATCGTCCCCAATCTGTTAGTTACTCAGTGCCCAGTAGGAGGATAGTCTACCACATGATTGCGGCGGGTGATAATACAGGACAGTGTAGATAGAACAGAAGCAGCCATATGGCTAAAACTAACCTAAAACGTAGGTAACAGAAAATATCTGAACAAGGTGTTTTTGTATTTTGTGAGAAGCTCTAGCGCACCCAAAATTTGCAATAAGTCCTAGGGATTTCACAAAACAAATCCAGTATGTTGGAATATTAATGTTTAATACTATATTTACTGAAGATGGTTCATTGGATGAAAAGGGTTATGCAAATTCAATAATTTCAAAAATACTGCATAAAAAATATTAGTTTTTTTTTTCTTTTCTCTGCTACTAATATTATTATTAATTCATAAATGCTAATAAGCCTACTGCTTTCAAGTGTAGGTGGATTTAGTCACAGAGACTGATAAGAAATGTGAAGAATTCATATTCAATTTTCTCAAACAACACTACCCTGATCATAAGGTTAGATCTTTGTCTTTTCTGCATTGTTTCCTATTTTAGCTGAATTTACTGGTTGGTTTCTTGATGGGTATAAATGTGAGGCTTCTTAAGACATAACTACTTGGTTCTCCCTAACTCTCTTGTAATAATTTTTCCATCTTAGTTCATCGGGGAAGAAACTACGGCTGCTTGTGGTGCTACAGAATTGACCGATGAACCAACTTGGATTGTTGATCCCCTGGATGGAACAACTAATTTTGTGCATGGGCAAGTATCTTATGTCATTTCATTTGTTAAGGTGGACTTTTTCTTCATCCATGTTAAGCTTCTAAGTTATTTCATTCAAATTCAGGTATCCTTTTGTATGTGTTTCTATTGGCCTGACAATTGGACGAATTCCAACTCTTGGTGTTGTCTACAATCCTATTATGGATGAGGTAAAACTATTGAACTTCCAATGATTTCAGGTTAACTTCTTCCCCATTGTTTATGGTAAGTATAAATCAAGGAAATTGAGTCTCAGAGTGTCAATCTCCAAACTCTTTAGATATTAGGTTATTAGCAGCTTGTGACTTATAATTTGTGATCCAAGTACTGAATTTTGCTCAGTGTTTTCATATCATCTTTTCGTAGTTTTAACATCTTTATGCAACGAAAGGAGCCTTTGACCTTACCTGGAACTGACCAATCAAGTGACTTATGATTTTAGTGTTACTTTCTCGTATTTTTCTCTCTTGCTGTACAATTGTAGTGATGTGTTGGATATAAGAATTCCTACATGTACTATGTCTGCAGTATAATTTTTCTAGCAGAATTTGCTGGTTAAGCATATAAAATATTTGGTTTTTAACGTGCAGCTCTTTACTGCCATCCGTGGAAAAGGTGCTTTTTTGAATGGAAAACCTATCAAAGGCAAGTTTCCTTTTCATGTATTCTCGCTTAATGTCATTGAACATTCATCTTACTCTTCTGTTGATATCCTATGTTCTGTTATTTGCAGTATCTTCTCAATCAGAGCTTGTGAAGTCCCTTCTTGCAACAGAGGTACTCAGCTGAACATATTGTTGAACAGTGCTTTGGTTGCTAAACAAATATTCATTGTTTTTTCGGTTCTATATCTTAGAATGTCAACCTGCAAATTGGAAATAATTATCTACCTAACTCCTGGCCTCTTTACTTGCTAAATTTGCTGTGTCTGTTTATATGATCCTGCAGTTCATTAAGTGTTAGCAGTAGAAGAAATGGAAAGTTCACATATTTACCTTTTTAAGATCCATTTTTCTTGTCCCTCTCTTAATATTTATTTATAGTCTATAATAGGAATGTTATTCTTGCTTCTGTAATATATATTGTAAACAGTACAACATTTTTGCAATTATGCATTCAAGAGTACGACTTTTATAAATGTAAGAAATTTACCTTTCTAATTTTACTTATATAAGCTAACTAAGCTTTGCGTGATGAAATGACAGTCAGGAATAAAGCTGGACAAGTCTACTTTGGATGCCACCACAAATCGAATCAATAGCTTACTCTTCAAGGTAAACAAATGTTGCTTCATAATCATGTTTTCTATGAACGTTTCTGGATATAGCTCAGAACATTGGTTCTCGTACAACCAGGTTAGGTCCCTTCGGATGAGTGGCTCTTGTGCATTGAATCTCTGTGGGATTGCATGCGGAAGGCTCGATCTATTCTATTTACTTGGGTTTGGACCTTGGTAAGATTTTTTAGATGTTTAATTTTGAATCTTGGTTCAAGTTACTAGGAGCATGATTAGTATGCTGGCTGGACCAGACTGATAGAATTAAAGAAGTCCATTGCACTAAACAGTACTACCTAATACGATGTTCCAAACATACATTGAAGTTCTCTTCTTTGTCCAGGGATATAGCAGCTGGTGCTGTGATTGTAGCCGAAGCTGGAGGAGTTGTGTTTGATCCGTAAGTAACACACTTATTTCTAACTTAGAGAAGGAATACTGAAGAAAAATTCTTTAATGGGAATAAGTAGTCTTTGGATACAAAATCTTTTAGTCATTCAAACATTTTCTCTATTTCTAGTAAAATTAGGATTATTTGCACGTTCATGAATTCCATGATTCTTATTCGTTTTCTATTTACAATGTACGTTGTCCATAAGTATTGATATTTGCAATTAGTTTACTATTAGAAATTATTTCCATCAGATATAAATTTCAAATAATTCTTATCTTGCCCAGAATAATAAATAAAGCTGAAGTTATAGATAAGTTCAGATTTCATCTTCATTTTTTCTTTTAGCTTTAGTTTTAGTTAAGATTAATTCTCCAATGGCTTTCTTGCTCTATTTCATGGTGAAAGCGTCCCTTTTGTTTCTTATATAAAGGGGCACGAAAGTCCATTGCTGTACCCGGGAAAACGTTACAGCATATTAACAAGTTGACTTGGGCATATTATAATTCATTAAGCATCCATAATTATTCTATGTAAACAACACTCATTTCCAATTGGATTTTGAATTGCGCTAGCAACCACATTGATTATATGTATGACATTTAAAACTATAGTCAGAGTTTGCGAAGTCTGAATCATGATGCTTCTGTAATCAGGTCTGGCAAGGAACTTGATATCACAACTCCGCGAATAGCAGCGTCGAATCCTCTTCTCAAGGACGCATTTATTCAGGCACTGCAACAATCAGAATGAGAGAGACGTACGAGAATTGCAGGAACTTCTTACAAGTTTAGTTTCTATTTGCTTTATCCAAGCATCGTGATCTGCTTGTCCTGGCTTTATTCGAAATGCATGTGATGTATCTAATCTTCATGAACTGAGACATCGAGCTGCCTCTACACCGTAAAATTTGAATTGGTAATAAATAACACGTCACTGTTGGGGAATTTGTTAGTCTGATATAAGGGTTGATTTTGCCGGGGCTATATCGACCTTCTCTTTTCTCTCGCTATACTCTTCATTTTTACCTTCTCCGGGGATCGACAGATAAAACCGTGCATTAATGGGTAGTTTGATTTGATATGTAAAATTTGAGGGATTGCTCGAATTAGTCATTTTTGGTTCTATTTATGAAAAATGGAAATTACCTATCAAAATTTTTTTTTATGAAAAATGGAAATATACATACAAGGATGGTCCCTGATAAAATATGGATGAAATATCAAAGAAACAACAAATATATATAAATATTCCAACAGAAATGAAAAAGGGGGAAAAACTTGTATCATCTCTAAACTCTCCCCAGTAGAAGCAACCTAACATCGACACCATCAATGGAAAAGTACAGAGAGATACAGCAGCACAAAAATATGTAAGATAAATGAGCAAATTGACAACCCTACTTTTTTATACCCTTGCCTCATTTCCATTATGTCTATTTGTTCCATTTACCCCATTAGACATCTTTTGAGAAGCAGCAGATTTCTTCCTCTTCACAAATACATACCATGTATAAGCTTCCAATGCTGCAGCAATAAATGCCAGAACCACCAGGATCCCAATATAGGCTCTCTCCCATTTGTTCTCGGGATTTAATATGTCGAACCCCTTGAAAATGTTGATAATACTTAGGACGATGACAGCGTATCCTACTGAGTGGTGGTAGATGTTCCAGTAAAATCTGTATTTGTGTTCCCTTTTCGGCCTTAGAAGCAAAGCAAATACCTGTATCCAAAAGAAACCTTATATCATTACACCCCATAGTCTCGTTAGACATTAAACAAAATCTGAAAATGATTAGATGTTAAACATTCGAAGAAATTCATAATTACCTGGAGGGTTCCTAGACAAAAGAGAACTATTCCGATGGTCCTGTGGGACGTGTATTGAACTCCGGGGGACTCACTTCCTAGCTGGATGCCTGTAGCCCAGCCAGCAACTCCAATGATGTAGGCCGAAGTTTGGCAAGTTGCGTGAAGATAAAACCAAGCAGGATCAGCAGATGGAAAGACCCTTAAGTACCTTGCGAATACAGCACCAATAGGCATCAAGATACCCCAACTTACTGCATTTAATACTCCATGAATCTGAATATTCATTAATCAATCAATCATCAGAAGCGTATACTTTTTAGAAGTATCTTCTTTTGTGAATACATGATTTTTACAATTACTACATAGCAAAAAACTGGTTTCTGAAAATAGTTAAAAGTGATGGTCATATAAGGATTTAATCACTTACATTTCTTTTCTTAGTTTTGGAATTTGATGACCCTTGTGTTGTTCTTGACTCTCCTGAAAGAAGATTTAGAGTCCCCACTGATCGGACGTTAGAACCAGATGTAGGATGCATTGCAGGGGCATCTCCTGAAAGTGGACCGTCTTGCCAAACCTGGTTAACAGTAGAGCTTAAGTTATCCAGCTTCAGCGTGGCAAAGATAATGATTTCGTTCTTTGAATATACTGCCGATAAATCTGAAACTGGAAAGCTCAAATCTCCTTCTTGCAACCGAGTCTGATAAGTAGTGATAGGTGCTGTGTAAGCTCTCATGGTTCCATCAGATTTTTGGAAAGCGATTAGAGCTTGTGCACCAACCATGCCTTGAGACCTTGGATTAATAGCCCACGCGACCCATTTAGAGGCCGTGACACCAGAGTGTCGATAGGCCATTCTGACAGTTCTCGAAGACGATTCGTAATTCCAGTGAAGAAATGAATTCAAATATGGGAGATCATTGCAGGAACTGAAAACTTGGTTACTGGCAAAGTTGTATTTTGCACATGATTGAGCATTGGTTGATAAATACAAAGAGAAGAGAACACAAGAAACCAAAACAGCTCTTAACATCTTGTTCTCTTTTCTCCTTAACAATAGAAATGCAAGGAAATCTGGTTTTAAAAGAGGAATAATATAAATTGAATAGCTTTAGTTGAGAAGGGATGAATGAGGAATTTGAAGAGGCAGGGGAAATGATTTGATTAGGAAAAGAAGCTTATGGGGAAATATAAAGATTGACAGAAGGTCTCTTATTATAGACTGAATATTGAATGGTGGGACATGAGTAGTTGCAGTTTGGTGAGGAAGGTTCTGTGAGAGAAGAAGTTCCAAGTTTCTATGGGATTTTAGCACTTGTCAAATTTCTATATCTCTAGTGCTTAGGTTTCAACAACTTTATTTTTTCATACCAGAACATGTCTAACTTCAACTGCCATTGTATTAGTGCATAGACTTATATATTTTTTGTCACCTAAACTTCAATTTTTAATGCTAGTTTGTAAAGTTTCTTTACCTTTTTCATGGGACATGAAGACAAGTATTATTTGACTAGCGAACAATTCACCTTTCGGTTTTAGATGATCCAAACTTTTGGAATTCAGACACTACAACAAACGTGGCTTTTTACGGCATGCATTTACAGCGTGCGAGCACGTTTAATACCATGTATTACACAATACACCAAACAAGACTTTAACTCTATTTCTCTTCTTTGATCATGTTTAGTAGTGTTTAGTCCAACTTAACATTAGTATTTACACTCACTAAGCTCAAAATTGTTGAGTGATCTTCTAGATATGTTACCACTGGATCAATACAGTAAAACATGTTTTGTACGATGGATGGAGCAAGCACGATCAAGGATTATGTAATATAATTAATCGGATGTCTCGTCTAGTCCAGAATAGATTACAATCTTGTAGCAAAGCACATGGGACATAATTGAGACTTAACCAATTAGTTTTATATATATATATATATACACACTCATAAATTCTTGAATTTTATTGTCCTAGTTTGGAGTGTCAACCACCTCACTGTTTTTGACCAAGACAAGATACAACTCACAGTAAAAAGATGAAAAAGTCATCTAGTCTCTATTCATAACCACTTCACTCCACAAGCATTTCATGCTTACTAACAAATCTTTTTGTAACATATTGTTATAGGGGCTTTAGACAGGTATCAAAATACATGATAAGTTGGATTAGGTGTATTACATAAATAGTGGAACCCAAGCTTGGTCAAACCAAATCCTTATCCAAAGATCCTATAGTGACATTTTATACACCTTATTTTCGCAGGAACTTGTTTTTTCCTAAGCACACTTCAACATGTTTGGTACATTAAACAAATAATAAAAAAAAAATCAACCAATTTTATTACATTTAGTTTTGTTTTATTTAACATACTGTGTGTGTGTGTGTGTGTTTTCTCATACAATATTAGATAATATTGATGAAGAAAAATAAGTCTTGTTCATTATACTGTAAAGTTGTGTGTACTAATCTCGTGTCACTTGGGGGAGAGAAAGTGGGCTCACTCTTTTCTTGAAATTATCCTGTAATTCCAATAAAATGACAAACCATTGGTGTATTATATGTAAAGTAAACAGGGTGGTAAATTATAATGATAAATTTTAATAATATTGATTTGGTCTGAACTTAGATTTTAATATGAGACAAGTGGCCATGATTTTTGCTATGGTTGATGTAATACAACCTTAATTTCATACAGATGGCCTCCTTTACTGGTATTATGTTGTCTGTGGTTGCCCATTAGGCTCATATTTTATTAAATTAAGTGCAATTATTGCTTAATGTAATGTGGGCATCCCACACAAATCTAGTAACCTAATGCTTTTCTCCTGCACCCTTCATTTATTCTTCACCGTTATGCAAATCTTTAATGCATCAAAAATTATAACCATACTTGTCCTTTTGCATGCAAACTTTTTTTGGGATTATGGTTCTTTCTTGAAAAGAAAAATGATGGAGAGGAGATAAATATAGAGATTCGATCCCTAAATTTCTTCTTTCAAGTTATCAACTTACTTAGCTTTTTATGAGCAGAATCAATCGTGTATAGTATTACGATTGTATAATAGATACATGTTTGAATAAATAGTAGTTCGACTCGAAGCCAATTTTCTTCTAAATTTACTAGTGTGAGGGATGTTCTTTGTAGAATAGGAATAAACAAAAATCTGCCCAGATAATAATTGGAAAAATATTGCCCCCCAAGGCACAGCTCAACTGGTGGATCAATCAATATTGTCTTGCTTCCAGCGGCAGGGTGGAGAGTTCGATTCCTGGTGGGAACCTGCGGCCAATAAATTTGGTATGGAGCAATCACTGTGGAGGAGGGTCTCTTGTGCGCAGAAGTGTATAGGCAATGAGGGGAACCTGTGATCCAGTTGAGGCATAATCCGCGGTTTACCCCCTCCAAGGTTCTAGGGGCAAGGGTCTTGGGGGGTCCAAGATTTAGTTTGGTGTAAGCTGGGATAACTGGATATCAAAAAAAATAATAATAAAAAAAATAATTGGAAAAATATCCATTTATATAATATAAATTAGCTTACTTACTATATCTGATCTGTTGGCCCACAATTGCAACTCTTGATGGAATCTCTTGAGAGCATGACATGTGGATGTGTAAGCAATACGTCAAATTATACACTATTCATCACAAATAAACCAAGATTTGAACAAGTCAATAAGACAATTTGTACATTAATTAGTCAGCAATGGTGAAGTAATTAAGAAGAAATCTTTTTAAAAGGAACATACTTATAATTAATAACATAAAATTCAATTCTTAATTCACCTAATGACAGTATGGTTGGACAACGTTTAAAAATAATTAGTATATAATGAATCAAGAGAAGTGTATCTACCTTAGTCAAAATTTACACGAGTCTGGAGGAAAATAAATTGTGTGACAAGTTTGTCTTTAATAAAAAAGGAAAAATCACATTTAAATCTCTATCATACACTAGAATAATTTCACTTTTTTGACGTTTGTGTTTCTAATTTTCAATTTCCCTATTGAAAATAAAACAAAGGTTAGATCGTTAGATTTATTATAGATGATCAAGAATATTCCCAAAAAGGAACAATTATACCCATAATTTATTTAAATGAAAATTACATAGAAACCTACTTTTAAAGATCTCATTTCATAAATCATATGTTAAGTTTACTATTTCAAAAATCAAATTTTTTAAATTAATATAATATTATTAGATAAATATATTATTAAATTAAATTAAATTATAAACCAACTCTACCTCCCTCAACCCCACCTCATTTCCCCCAAACTATTCTATCTCTCTTTCACCTGAAAATAACTACCAGATCGTAGTTGGAAACCGTCGCTCCATCAACCACTCGCCTGAAAATAACTACTCGTAGGATCGCCATACACAATGCAGTCGTGCGCAGGACCACCTTGGTGGCTCCATTAGTCACTCGCGCAACGCCACTCCTTTAGATATGTCAGATCACTTGTCAAAAATTGGAATATAAAGCCCCAATTAAACAAACCCTGGATAAGCAAAACTAGAATACATGAGGAGCCGATAGTGGTGGAGGAAGATTGGTGGTTTTCCTTGTTTTTATTTGTTTATCTGGTTTGAGGAAAGTGGTGGTTTTTCTCGTCGTTTAGGTAGAGCCGCTGTGAAGCGAAGATGGTGTTGTCTGGTGCCGAAGAGCAGCATTTGGTGTTGTCTACAATAGCAACAAATGTTGGTGTTTGTGTTAGTATTATTGGTGTTGTGGTGGTGGTGGTGGTGGGGTGCTACTGTGATGCTGTGGGTGTGGTGGTGGTGCTGTGATGCGATGCGATAGTGGAGAACGAAAGTGTGGCGGGTGCGGCAAAGATGTGCTACTGTGAAGTTGTGGGTGCGGTGGTGGTGCAATAGTTAGGTGAGTGGTGTGGTGCTGTGCACAATTGTGTGGTGGTGATGTGGGTGAGATGTGGTGGTGATGGTGATGTCATTCTAACGACGGTGGTTTTGGTGGCGTTGCGACTAATGATAGTGGTGAGGTGGTGGTCACAAATAATTTGGTTAACTGTGACCATTAAACTGGTTAATCTATGACCAATATAAAAGATAAATTATGATCAATAAATTGGTTAATTTGTAATATGTGACCTAAAAATTGTGACTGTGACTTACAATTAATTAAGTTGTAATCGAAAAATTAATTGTGAGCAATTAATCTAATAATTTGTAATGAATAAATGAGTTGTGACCACCAAAAATTTTGATTCTGTGATCGATGAATAATCGGTGACATAAAATTTTTGATTCGTGAGCGAAAAATAATCTGTGACACATAAAATTTTTTATTTATGATCGAGAAAAAATTGTAACTAAAAATTAATCTGTGATTAATTAATTAAATAACTGTGAACAAATTATATAGAATTGTGACATCAATATATTTAATTAGTAAAATATATGTTTAATAAATTAATTTATAAATAAAATTTTAAGATATTTGATATTTGAAATTTGAAACTATGTTTTTTAACTTTGAAATGTGACATACTTAGCCCTCGTTTAGCCTCCATTTTTTGGAAATGAAAATGGATAGAATAGTGTTTTTTGAAAAATGAGCAATTGAAAAAGAATGAAAAGTTTTCTATTTACGTACAATAATGAAGATTGTGTGATTGAAAATATGAGAGAGAAAAATATAATATAATGGAATGAAAATTAGTTGGGACTAGATGAGGGCTTTATCTCTTATTTAAGAATTTTTCCCCTTATTTAATTAATAGGTATAATTTTTCCATTATAGAAACAACATTTTAGCTATGGGCTCAAAATAAAAGGACTTTCGCATCATGCATTCATCTAGAAGACTAGAACTTTAAGTTTATTACAAGGTACTTAATTTTGGCTTTGGTTGGTAAGAAAATGACTTGTGTAGGATAATTATTAGTTAACAAAGTGACACGTAGAATGAAAGAATATGATTATAAGCATGCACAAACACCAAGATTTGAATGAAATAATGTTTCGTGTACTATCAAAAATGTCGATCCTAATCTGAAAATATTGTTCTTCTGCAATCCTTTACCAACAAACAAGAAACTTCTAAATTTGTTATATGACATTTTTGCCATTAAGAATCTTTTTTAGTTTTTAGAGAGCACGTTAATGTATATTCTTGGAATTTTTGCTCATAGAAATTAGAATGATGGTATTTGTGACACTAAGTTACCTCTTATTTTACCTTCGGAGATCGACCTAAAAATACTTTCTCATAAGTTTTTTTAATTTTACTTTCGTTATTTTACATATATCAGACA